TCCCAGCAAACAACTTCGAGATCAAGCCATGCTGGATTCAGCTCATCACATCCTCGATCCAGTTTCATGGCTTGAAGGATGAGGAGGCCAGGGTGCATCTTTCCCGTTTTCTGCAGCTGACAAACGGGTTCAAGCTGAACGGTGTCCCGGATGATGCGATCCGCCTTCATCTCTTCCCCCATTCTCTGGCGGGAAATGCTAAGAGGTGGTTGGAGACCCAGCCCCCATTGTCCATCACCTCTTGGGACGATCTGGCGGACAAGTTCGTGCACAGGTACTATCCGGCATCGAAGACTACAGAGATTCAGCGGGAGATCACTCACTTCCGCCAGGAGCCAGATGAGTCACTCCGTGATGCTTGGGAGCGGTACATGGGCTACTTCTGGCAGTGCCCCCACCATGGCTTTAGTGATGCTTTCATTGTGGGGAACTTCTACAGCGCTCTCTCCCCAGATAGCCAGAGGGTGATTGAGTCTTTATGCCCAGGAGGGGATATTCTTACCAAGACTCCACCCGAGCTGAACCAGATGATCAGTACTTTGGCTGCCAGAGATCATTCTTGGGGACAGGGTAGCCGAGGCAGACAGTCCCGGGACCGTGGTGTGCACGCCATGGAGACCAGATCCGGGCTCGAGCAGCAGGTAGCTGAGCTAGTGCAGACATTGAAGCAGCCTAACAGTCTGATTCCGGGCAGAGGTTTGGCTACACCTCCAGTTGCTCAGTGTCAGTGGTGTGAGAGCTCCAATCACCTAGTGGAGGACTGCCAGGCTATGAGGGAGTCTACCACACCCCGGGAGCAGTTGGCCTTCATCGCCAATGCGAGGCGCCTCGATCCATACAGTAGCACATATAATGAGGGGTGGCGCCAGCATCCCAACTTTGCCTGGAGCAGCAACACCACTAAACCACCTGGTTTCCCAGCACCAGCAGGTGGTTTTCAGCAGAGGCAGCCCTACCAGGCTCGACAGGGGCTAGTTCCACAGCAGCCATTCCAGCAGCCCCAGCGCCAGTTTGCCGAGGCAGCAGCAGCTCCAGCCCTAGATGACAGGATGACGAAGCTGGAAAACATTCTAGCTTCATTCATGACGAGCACTCAGGCGACTATCACGAGGTTGGACCAGAGTGTAGCCTCACTGGAGGCAGGTCAGAGGAACCAGGGTGCCATTTTGCAGGATCTGCAGACCTAGGTGGGCATCTTGGCCCGCCAGAACACCACCAGGGCACCTGGGACTTTGCCTGCCACCACTGTTCCGAATCCTCGAGATCCGCACCAGCAGCTGGATGCCATTTTTACCAGGAGCGGTAAGGTCATATTTGCTGATCCTGTCCCGGCCAGACAGGAGGAACCACTACCTGCTTCAGCACTTCCAGCCGACGATGCAGAAGTGCGGGTGGAGAAGGAAGCCCCTGCTCCCAAGCCACAACTAGTGGTTAAGGAGCATGTGCCCCAGCTTCCCTTCCCCACTCGCCTACACAAGGATAAGCTGGAGACTGAGTTTGCCAAGTTCATGGCAATGTTGAAGCAGCTCAACATCAGCATACCGTTCATGGAGGCACTGTCGAAGATGCCCAAGTATGCCAAGTTCATGAAAGATATCTGCACCAACAAGAAGAAACTTGGGGATCTCTCGACAGTGATGCTGAGCGAGGAGTGTTCTGCTATCCTGCAGAACAAGCTGCCCGAGAAGCGCAAGGATCCAGGGAGTTTTACTATCCCTCTTACTATTGGCAGCATGCATGTAGGCAAGTCCTTGGCGGACCTAGGTGCTAGCATAAACTTCATGCCATATAAGTTGTTTAAGAGGCTAGACTTAGGTGAACTTAGCCCTACTAGGATGAGCATTCAGCTCGCTGACCGTTCCATTGTGCATCCTAGGGGTGTTATAGAGGATCTGCTTGTTCATGTTGGTGCATTCACATATCCTGTTGATTTTGTTATTCTGGATGTAAATGAGGATGTGGATGTACCTTTGATTCTAGGTAGGCCATTTCTTGCCACCGCCAAGGCACTTATTGATGTGCATGAAGGAAAACTGATCTTGCGTGCTGGGAATGAACAGGCTACTTTTTCTGTGACTGAGTTTGATCACTGTGCTATGATTGATGTCACGCCTGTGCATGCTATGTCTGATCAGGTACACGAGCCTGTCGTGTATCCTGCTGCTCCTCTCATTTTGCAGGACCCTCCTATCAGTCCTTCGCCGCCACTCCATCCAGCCACGCCTCCGAACAAAAAGCTCAAGGAGGAGTGGCGGCCGAAGCAGCAGGTTGCTAAGCCTGCACGGAAGAAGAGTGGAGACCACTATGAGCTGGTCCCACCTCCTGCACCACGACCACCCTGGCCATCTGGGTACTCGCTCTCCTGCATCTTGCCAGATGGGCAGGTCGAGCTGACTGATGAGGGTGGTCGCATCCGTCGGGTGCATGACCACAACCTCAAGATGTACCTCAAGAGCGATGTGGATCCGCTCTTGGAGGCACCTGTTCCTGCACCGCCCTGAGTATCCACCATGGGCGTCCAGCTAATACGACGGTAAAGAAGCGCTTGTGGGGAGGCAACCCCACCACGGTTTGATTTTCTTTCTTGTGTTTTGAGTCGGATTGTAACCCGGTTTGGGTTTGGTTTGTTTTCTTTTGGTTTGGATGATATTTTATTGGGCTGACCATTGAACCTAACATACTGTGTTTGAGCTCTTCTGTTCCCCTTTGGCTGTGCTTGCCCCGACTGGCCCGTTTTCAGTCTCCTGCAGTCCATGCATACCGGTAACATCGTTCCCTTATCCTTCCCTCTTCTCCATTGAGGGCAATGTCGAGCTTAAGTGTGGGGGGATGTTTATCTTTTTGACTGCATTAGATCTGTTTGTGTGCTTGGAGCCTAGTCCACTGTCCAAATTTTTAAATTTGAGGGCTCCAAGTACGTGTTTCCATGCAATTGCCTGCTCAGTATGCTTTGAATTGACAGTCTTTATAGTAATATGCAACCTAGGGAGGTAGTGTAGCACTATGGAGGATGTTGATGCATTTAAGAAATCTCATTTCTTCTTCATATTGTGTTGGATGATTGAGTGAATTAGTGATCTTAGGACCCTTGAATTGTGTGATGTTGTGGATTTTCTACCTGTCATGGACTCTTGTGTCATGTTTTGAAAATAACAGGTGCTCGAAAATGTGCTTCAAAATAAACGTCTCCCGTGCGAATAGGGCGAAAGTGTGTAAGGGGAGACGGGAATCCGTTCCCAATTTCCACCCACTACCTCCAGCCCCCTTACATGTCTTTACCCCGCACGAGGCTCGAGACATCCGCTCCTGGCATGGCCGGTAAGAGCAGGTTGGGACCCTTGAAAAGAAAAAAAGAAATGAAAAATAACAGAAAACAAGCAAAACAGAAAAAAAAGGGGTTCCAACCATCTTCAAAGAAAATCGAGCACCTTGAAAAATGTGAGTCCATGATCTGTTGTTTTTGAGAATCTCTCCATCCACGATTCATTTGTCCTCTGTTCACTTTTTGCCATGATGCCGACTCGATAAGAAGCTTTGAGATGACTTGTGCGTCGGTTGACCTCGTAAGCTGCTAAATGACCTAGGAAGTCCTCTACTTACGATCTGGGTTGTTTGTTGCTATGAAGGTCTGGAGAGTTGCATTGGTTTGAGTTAGGTTTGCTTGGGGACAAGCAAACGGTTAAGTGTGGGGGAATTTGATAACGATGTAAATGCACATGTTTGCGCCCCTAGTTCTTATCCGTTTGAGGGGCATAGTCGTGTGTTTTGGCCTATTTTACGCCGGGTTGTGCTATTTTGTCATGTTTCTGGTCCCAGGCGTCAAAGGGAAGGCTTACCGCGAGTTTCGGGGCATTCGGAAGTCATTTCGATGAGCTGGAGCCAAAACACGGGCAGCCTAAAGCATTACACGGCCGTGTACTGCTGGCCGTGCTTTTTATGCCGAGAGCAAATTTGGTTTGGCCAATTCAGTTGCAAACACGGGCACTGAAGCACGGCCGTGTTCAGTCAAAGCACGGCCGTGTCCATCGCGAAGCACGACCGTGTTTCCACCAGCTGCTGGCCGTGTAATTAAGCCCTGGCCGAGGCACGGGCGGAGTCAGGCAAAGCACGGCCGTGCCCTCGACCGTGCTTTGGCCACTGATGCTTTTAAGCAGAGTTTCAGCCACAATTCAGTGGGATTCGAGTTTTTGAGAGAGAGATCAGTTCCTAGAGAGAGAAAGTGACGAGCAAGAGTTCCCAAGTGCCCTAGATTGATCTTCAACACCATTGGAGGCCAGCTTGAGCTTGGAGAAGTGCCGATCAACGTCCAGAAGCAGGAATCCATCCTTCGCAGTATGAATTCCGTGTCTGATTCTGCTTTTGCTTTCTTCTCTATGGAGTAGTTCTTCCATTCATCTGGGTATGGAGAACCCTAGATTTGTATGTTAGGCTTTGATTGTATGAACCCAAGTACTGATTCTGTGATTGATTATATTCGATTGAGGTTTTAATGATTGAATGACTTGAATCCTGATCAAATTCCTGTTGTTTCTACTTTGACCTAGAATGAGAATATCTGCCTAGGTTAATAGAGTATCCTTGATTGAAGGTAGGGAGTTGGTGACTTTAGTCGAGGAGCCAACTCACTATTCCGTACCGGATTTACTCCGGTAGTGGAGGTTTTGTTCTTAGGGCCTCAATCTGTCGACTCCGGTGGAGGTTAGTCGCCCGCTAGAGAGTCAGATTGAGAGGGTCTGAAGACCTTTAGTCGAGACTTTAGGCTGTTTAAGAACCTTCCGCAGTATAACTATCATAGAAACTGAACTTGGTAATTACAATCCGGCTTAACTGCAATCTAGGGGGAACCATATCCGGGTGACCTCTTTAACCTGAATACAACAGTTTACTTGCTTTGTTAGTTAGACTTGCATTCCAGTTTCATTGCTAGATAACAAGAATTCACTGAGTAGTCATCACATCTAGGACCCGGGTTGATAATTAAACCTAAACCCGCTATACTACGCTTTAGGAAGTGGTTACACTTGGCCAATTCCTGGAGTGACAGTAGAGTCGAGTCATAATTAAACCTAATCCGCTATACTGCGCTTTAGGAAGTGGTTTCACTTGGCCAATTCCTAGGGTGACAGTAGAAGTGAGTCAGCTTCCAAGGACGAAAATAGTTCAAGCATCACTTGAATAAAGAGGAGCATCCTATCTCTATTGAAGAATCTTTCGCCAAAGGCAACGAAGGTCGAGGCAAGGAACATCAATCCTCCTCCACTACATTACTATGAACAAAGGATGCGTGACGAATGGAGTAACAAGGACGCTGATCCAGAAGATCTGAAGCTACTACAAATGTATGGAATTTACCCAACTTTAGAGGAGATGGAGCAAGCTTTCAAAGTTATCGATGTAATACGTCGGATCAAGTCAGAACCTCCTAGGAGGTTCAATGGTAGCTCCAAAGATGAAGGGCCAAAGCAACTGCTAGAAAATGCTCATATCATCGAGGAGCACCCCGAAGTTGATAAAAGACATTTCAGTGAGATGCATGAAGGTTTTGGAGAAACGAAGGAGCACAAATGGCTTATGGAGCACGACGACTTTGTGGACCATGGAGAGAAAGAAGATCATCTTAATGCGAATTCATTAGACGAGGAAGAAGATGGATGATTTCCCACTTCTCTACATATTTTGGCAAAACCGTCATGAACTTGATTGTACCATCCGTGAAAACATACCACTTGTCAAACTAACATAACAATATAAACTGGTTTGCCAAGCTTCATTCATATTGATTAATTAAGTCAAGGATCATATGTAGGCTGATTAAAAACTGAAATCTGGCCCAATCGACTCATTTGAATGAAATTAGAAGTTAAAACTAATCTCTATCATCAATTCCGTGTAGGTCAGAAACAATTAAAGAAGCTTCAATCCTCTCGTTTTTGTTCATCTATTACAAACAACCCAAAACAGTTTCCCCAATTCGTTTTCAGGTTTTGATCTTGCAAAAGGGGAAAAGACGAAGCGCAATGGCAGGAGCGGCAAACAAGTTCTTTGTTACCTCAATGTTCATATGGATGGCTCCGATTGCTGTCCTTTTCGCCTTCAACCACGATTTGCTTCCCGGTAAATCCGCTTCTCTCTCTTTATTTCGTTTGCGCCAAAAGTCCACTGGTTCTCGTAGCAATATTTACGCTTCACCCGCGACTTCCAATCCAGAGGGTGTCATGAAATGATTAGAAGAAGGAGAAGAAGAGATTATTAACTATCGTCAGGAATATTGGCGTGATCCAATTTTACTCCCTGCCTCTTTGATTTCCTACTCCTACTGGTTTGAGATCGAAATGGATCTTTCGTGATCCGACCTCGTTGGTTTGGTGAACGAACAATGGGAGTGGAAATGTGTTTTTGGTTTGAACACAGTAGACAGCGATAATCCGCTTGGATTCCGCCGAACTGAAATTTAATAGAGTCTGGTTTGTTGTTCGAGTGGGAGGTCATGAGTGTGCTGCTTTAAAAGGGTTAAAATTAGGTGCCTAATATGGAAATCAGGTTCAAGTAGCTAGTTGATTGTTCCTGTCATCTTCTCGTCATGATGAACACAGAAAGTGTCCTTTTGGCTGCTTAATAGTTTTCACCTCTGTTCCCTTGTTTAGTCTTTATAGAAAAAAAGGAATGCATCCCTGTATTGATCTACAGATCTGTCCTTTGATTATCAACTTTTAATGTACTTGGTCGCTTCTCTGTTTGGAATGTCTCGTCGTGTTTCTTGCATGAATCTAGTACAAAAATTCGTGTATTCTGAGCCAGTACATGTGATAGGTTGCAATATTACATTCGTATAGCTCAAAAGTTGATTACACTCATCCTTACCATCCACGTATAAAGCAGATGATTTCTTACAGGTACATGGCTATGAAACAAGGTAGCTTCTGTCCTTACCAAAATAACGTACATGTAGTTTGCTGCTACTTCGTTTCCTGGCATATAGGTTGAGACAAGAGTAAGGAAGCCGTGGTGAAATCTGTCCATCTTGTGGCCTGATTTCATTGTTGAACAATCAATCTAAGCTCTCTTATTGACAAGATGTGATGTGTCCCGTGACAAACCTACCCAAGCAAAACCATATATGCCTAAACCTACAAGTGTGGTTGAGCTGAAACCATCACTAGAATGATGGAAAAGAGTCTGGGTGTCTCTACTGCGAGACAAAGAAAAAACTCATTTCTATGTTAGGGAGAAGAAAGCTTTGGTTCTGAAAGCCAGATTGGCAACATAGTGCTCTCTAGCTAGCTAAATTTTGTGGTTTTGACTTGTGTATATATTGATTGTTGGATCCTGTACAGGGTTGAGCCAATTATCACCGCATACTCTAACCTTGCTAAGCGGATTGGTGGCCGTGGTGTCAGTCAATATAGTTATGGGATTCTATATCTATATCGCAGTGAAGGACAAGCACGAACCAACCTCTGCAGCTGAGGCCAAAGCTAATTTGACCAAACTAAACAAAGGTAAAACAGCTTCAAGGGCGTCCAAGAAAGACTAGTAGATATTCAGCCCTCTAGCTAACACAATGAATACAGTGGATGTTGTTGAATGCTCTGTTGGTATTCTTTTCGAGCCGACTATAATCAGTTCTGAGCTCTGTTTTTCTATAATGTATCTACGCAGTGCACCACGATTGCACTCGATTTGTTGTAACTTGTCTTCTTTTTTTTGATTGAGTTGTAACTTGTCTTCCTATATCAACGTTGGAATCAATATCAGCTTCTTTTTATCGTTTCTTTATGAGTTAATACTCTAGTTTGGTCCGAAGTTTAACATAAGTGTCAATTCTGATTCCATTATTAGTTCAATATCAACTTCTTTTTACCAACGACCCTCCCCCTCTACTCCGCCACCATTCCTGAAATGTCTTCGATCCGTCTGACCTAGGGGTGTTCAAACGGTGTGGTTATTGTGATAAACATTTTAACCGGTAATATTTGGCTAATATGGTATGGTTAATTTGGATAATTGGTTTGGTTTAGTTAAAAAAATTTAGCTCGTTTAGTTTTGGGGTTTGGTTTGGTTTCAGACCGTGCTAACCAATCCAACTAAATTAACCAGTTAAGTAATTATTCATATATCTAATATATATTACATACACATACTTAATACTTGGCATAACCACTCAAAAGCCAAACATTCATTCCTTTTGGGCTCATCAACAATAAAGTTCAATATTGTTTCTATACTGTATATTTGTATTTGTAGAGTGTAGACCATGATATATGAACACCCAATTCGGATAGAACTCATACAATATATTAGATGAAAATTTGAAAAGACTGTCTTTTTCAACCTATGATAATTGCTAAGAGACTAATTCAATGCACACAGTTAAAACAATTAATTAACTCCTTAATATTGACATATATTTTTATTATGTAAATACTTCTATTGACTGTAAGATAATTGTATTAGTTGCATGTATTTCTGTATGAGTTAACTATAATTATGTGTTCATTGTAATATTTTATTCATCATATAAATTGTGAATTGATGCATTAACTGAAAAGTTTCTCACTTAATGATAATGTGATGTTATATTGGTTAAACTGGATAACCAATTAACCAAACCGATCAAACTTTAGCTTGGTTAATTTGGTTGTTGTATTAGTTTGGACGGTTTGGGTATGATATTGTATTCCATGGTTAATAGAATTTGGCTTGTTTGGTAATTACCATGGTAACCATTTGAACACCCCTAGTCTCATCAGCCTCTTCCTTGCGCACCACGACCGTTCTCCCTTCCAGAACGAAAACATCGCCATCGTTCATCTTCATCGTTCATCATTCTCCCCCACAGAAACAAAAATTAGTGGAAAACCATCTCTCAACACAATCACACATCTTTATTCTTCCCATTGCTTCACTTCCCAACTAATTCCTCTCAACTTCCAAAATTTGTTTTTGCCTACCCTTCCCATTGCTTCACTTCCCAACTAATTCCTCTCAACTTCCAAAATTTGTTTTTGCCTACCCTTCTTTTTCATTTCTCACTTAGATTTGCTTTGTTAGCTATGGAAACCAGATCTTTCTCCCTTCCTCCATCCCTGATATGATCCCAAATGGACCAATCTATGTTGCCATGTTGAATTACAAGAAAGAATATGAAATTTAGCTGATTTATTTTTCTGTTTCAGGTACCCAACTTTGCAAACATGGTTCTCACAATTGGCTCGATGGAAATGGACGTTTGAGGGCTTGTATTAAATCTGGTGTTAACCATTGCAAGCTAGAGTGCTTGGTTGTTCAAGGAAAGGCGAGGATTATTTTTAAGGATTATTTTTAAGGCAGAGACAGTGTTCAAGAGGGCCACTTTGAAGCTCTATTCTGGACGGAAGGAGGAGAGTCGAGCTTCAAGAAGGATACCACACGAAAGCATGCATCTTCTAGTACAACAACAAGGCATTAGGTGAACAAAGTGATCCTTGGAAGAGCTCGAACGAGAAGGCCAAAGTTTTCCATCGAAGCTGATTTTCTGCCTGGAAGAACAAGTAATCTGAATCCTAGTCGAATTAGGATTCATGCCCTGTTTGAATCAATTTCCTTTTCTAGTTAGATTTGTTTTCTTTTCGAGTTGGATCTTGATTAGGACATTCTTTACTTGGTTTGTAAGTTAGATAGCCTATTTACAACCCAAGATTGCATTGTAATAGTTAGTTTTTGATGTTCAATTGAATAAACCAAGAGTTTATCTCCATAGCTTCTTGCTCGTGAAAAAAAATCCGGAACTGTGGATATCCGCCTGAATCCGCTTTAATTGAGTAGGGTAAAACCCGAACCCGAATGATTTTTAGTGGGTACGGGTAGAACCCAAACCCGAATATTGCGGGTAATGGGTGGGCATGGTTTTCACACTATCCAACCCGAACGTAACTGATTATACACATGTATATGTATTTTGTCTATAAATGATTATTATTTTTCTCAACATATTTGATATTTAGCATACAAATATAATATTTTTCATTAAATTGTGTTGTTCTAAATTACTTTTTTTCATTCTAGTGATTTATTGTCATACTTTATCACTTATGTAATGTGAGTAGACGTGTGAATGTTAACATGTTGATTGGAGGTATAAAGAGAAATTATTATCTATGGATAACCGTGGATACCCAAAAACTCGAATGGGTATGGGTATGGTTTTGATTTTCTACCCGATTCTCGTGTGGGTATGGGTTCTTATTATCCATACATTACACTATCCGCCCCCGACCCGACCCATTGCCATCCCTAGCTAGTATCGTTCAATTAATCACATTGAACGTGGCCAAACATCGTCTTGTACTTCTCGAGCTCCTTTCCCGTCGTGAAAGCTGCACGAAAGTTCCATCCCAAAATCGACACCAAAGCTCTGTTTTTGTGTTCTTTCTTTCTTAGACTCGATTCAATCTTTGAGTAGCGTCTAGGTTGTGTCTCTCTAATCAAAACACCCCCTTAGGGTGTCATCAATCCCGCTTCTTCTCCATTGTAAGTGGTAGCAAAACCGAAACCCAGTATCCTGTTTACTTGATTGTCTCATGGGTTCATCTCATTGATTCTTCTTTCCGAACCCTGCTTTCAATCCATGACTTCAACTCCCAGTTAGCGCCTGGCAGGAAATGTTATCCGAGGCGAACGCCTCGATCTGCCACGATTTCGAGGCATTGACAATCTCCCACCGCATAGTGAGGACCGTTAGCCAGAAGCTGAGAAACGATTTGTTCCCACGTTTTGATCGATATCTAAAAATAGGAACGGGGGGCCTCAGCAACACGAGGAGGAATCGAATATGTCGAAGCAGATCGACTGCAACCATCGAGATCGGGCAGAGAGACGATGGTGATTGATGACGACGACGCGAGGACGTACCTATGGAGGATGGTGTCGATCTCTGCAACTATGGCGTCGAGAGTGACGAAGTAGAGCAAGGGTTGCGGTCGCGAGGAATGACTCGCTACGACACAACACCTAACAATGGCCAAGTGTAACCAATGGAAGGGACTGCAGCATAGTGGCTCAAGTGATAAATATCGAATCCACGGGTATCTAGAGTTACTATTACTCAGCTTCAGTTTATTATTTAGCAAACCAGATTAAGATGAAAGAACTAAAACTACTCTAGCTAACTACAGTTAAAGTTAATCTAATTACAGGTTGGGAACTCACTTAGGTATGATTCCCCCTAGCCACTAGCCAGACTAACGATTGATGATTTCTAACTTGTTTCACTTTCATTCACAATGCGGAGAATCCTTGACTAGACCTTGAGTCTCGACTAAAGGAACAAGGCCCTCTTGAGTCAATTTCCTAAATGGACGTATGCTTCTCTAGAACAACTGATCAAGGCGTTCTGAACTAGACTCCCTCTATCGAAAGAGGTTCTCAATCGATACAAAGCAGTGAATCAACCCTCGACTAAAGCAATCGATCCACTACTATCAATCTATGGTGCTCTATTGACCTAATCAGGTATTCCCTCTCATAGGATCAAAGCAGAATCAATAATCTCGACTAAAGCAGAATTGAATCATGAAAACATGCATAGATTGAATATGAACTCAAGATAATCAAGTCAGAGTACTCATACAATCATCCAATCAAACAAACATAGCTAGGGTTCCTCAAAACCTAAGTGAAGGGAAGTTACTCCATAGAGAAGAGAGAGACTGCAGTAAGAATCTTCAGATGATCAGTCTTCAAGTCCGGGCTTGTTCCTCGAGTTTCCAAGGCAAAGAAATCCTCCAATTCCACTCCAAGAATGCCCTCAAATCACCCTCTCTCTCTTTGGTTCGTCCCTAGGGTGTTTGGGATCCAAAACCCAGCTCTCCCCTTTCCTTTTGACTGAAAATCTGCTTAAAAGGGCATCAGTGGCCAAAGCACGGTCGAGGGCACGGCCGTGTAATGCCTCAGCCCGCCCGTGCTTTGGCTAGTGTTAATTACACTAGGAGAAACACGGCCGTGCTTTTGGGAGGACACGACCGTGCTTTGGTGAAGCACGCCCGTGTTCTATCTCAGCCCTGACCGTGTTTTGGCCAATGTTTGCCAAACTCGAATTAGCTCTCGGCAGTAAAAGCACGGTCTCAGAACACGGCCGTGTTCTGGTTTAGGTGTGCTCGTGTTTTGGCTCAGTTTCACCGAAATGACTTCCGAATGCCCCGAAACTCGTGCTTAGCCTTCCCTTTTACACCTGGGACCTGAAACATGACAAAATGGCACAACCCGGCATAAAATAGGCCAAAAACACACGACTATGCCCCTCAAACGGATAAGAACTAGGGGCGCAAATATGTGCAATTACTTCGTTATCAAACTCCCCCACACTTAACCGTTTGCTTGTCCCCAAGCAAACCTAACTCAAACCAATGCAACTCTCCAGACCTCTATAGCAACAAACAACCCAGATCGTAGGTAGAGGACTTCCTAGATCATTTAGCAGCTTACGAGGTTAACCGACGCACAAGTCATCTCATAGCTCCTTCGGCGAGAGCACTAGTATCGAGTCGGCATCATGGCAAATAGTGAACAGAGGACAAATGAATTGTGGATGAAGAGATTCTCAAAAACAAAAGATCATGGACTCACATTTTTCAAGGTGCTCTATATTCTTTGAAGATGGTTGGAACCCCTTTTCTTTCTGTTTTGCTTGTTTTCTGTGATTCTTTTTTTCAAGGGTCCCGACCGGCTCTTACCGGCCATGCCAGGAGCGGATGTCTCGAGCCCCGTGCGGGGGAAAGACATGTAAGGGGGCTGGAGGTAGTAGGTGGAAATTGGGAACGGATTCCCGTCTCCCCTTACACACTTTCGCCCTATTCGGACGGGAGACGTTATTTTGAAGCATATTTTCGAGCACCTGTTATTTTCAAAGCATGATACAAGAGTCCATGACAGGCAGAGGATCTACAACACCACACAATTCAAGGGCCTAAGATCACTAATTCACTCAATCAACCAACACAATATGAAGAAGAAATGAGATTTCTTAAATGCATCAACATCCTCCATTGTGCTACACTACCTCCCTAGGTTGCATATTACTATAAAGACTGTCAATTCAAAGCACACTGAGCAGGCAATTGCAAGGAACACGTACTTGGAGCCCTCAAATTTAAAAATTTGGACAGTGGACTAGGCTCCAAGCACACAAACAGCCAAACATTCACCCGCATAAATAATCGAACATCCCCCCAAACTTAAGCACGACATTGTCCTCAATGGAGGAAAGATAAGGAGGGTAGAACGAAGTTACCAGATCAAGGGTGAATGATGATGAACGGGTCAGGCGGTGCATTCCAGAAAGAGAGAGTAATCAGAACACAAACACCACACAAAATCTCACAAAGGTTGAGTTATTCACTCTAAAATCAAATAACAAAACTGACTCAACCGAGGAGAAATAGAGAAAGAAATGCAAACCGACTGGTTGGGTTGCCTCCCAACAAGCGCTTCTTTCACGTCGTGAGCCAGATGATGGCTCCTAAGTTTTGGTCCATGCTAGAACCTCCTTGAAGTTGAGGTTCTCGTCGATGAGGTGGAGTCTCAAGTCACGAGCATGTGGTGTGGCAGGTGATGAAGTCTCATGTACTTGATGCAGATGAAGTCTCCACCCTCGAGACCTCTTCTTCTCTTCTCTCGTCTCATTGCCCCAAACCAGATATGACAGCATCGATTGGCCACCATCGCGTCCACCAAGAGGGACCGATTTCGATGTGGCTTTGGTCCGGCAAAGAAACACTGCAAATGGGTCCTTGCTAAGCAGTTCCTCAAAGTTTGGTGGGGATATCACTTGCAACTCATGGCCGGTGCAAGCCTCTTCCACCTCAACTTCGTCCTCAGCCTGGACGCCAATTGCTTCTTCAACCTCCCTTCCTTCTTCATGTGGTATCACCCCTGGGAAATGATCAAGAACTCCTCCAGCTTCACTTTCGTCATCCTCCACAACTTCTTTCTGCACCCTTTCTTGCTCTTCTTCTTCTAGCACGGATTGGAGAGCAAGTTGCCAAGCAATTTCTTTCATGAGATCTTCTTGCATCTCCTCACTCATGCCCGCCTCTTCAAAGCTCAGTTTGGGGTGTGGGAAGGTGTGGTCGGCTACGACATGACACTCCTGATCATGATCATCACGGGAGCTCTCCGTGACAACTTCAGTGTGCTCCACAATGTCCTTGTAGCCTTCTTCTTCCTCCTCCTCTTCTTGTATGGTAGCAGAAGGGTGATCTGGAGCAGGTTGTGCCCAAGATCGCTCAAGATCATCGACGCTCTTCTTAAGGCTCAGGAGGATCTCCTCTGTTTCACGAAAGGCCTGGACACAATGGTCCATCCTGGAGCATGATCTCTCCATGAGAAGCCTCAATTCGTAGGTTGGATCTGGCTGTGGAGTGTAGCATGGCTCTGCAGAATAGCCCGTGAAGGCCGCCATGGGTAACTCCAGCGCCGATGGCCCTTCTGGTTGTGGGAGAAATTCTTCTTGGTAATGAGGTTGTTCTTGATATGCCCAGGGGTCCGGTTGTTCTCCGTAGTAAGGGGGTTGGTACTGGAACCCGAATCCATAGTCTTCTCCTCCTTGATTGCTCCAGGGAGTCTCAGGGTAATACCACCCGGATGGTGGTGGATACCCCCAATTGTTGGAGAAGCCATGAGGATCCATGATTCAGATCTGCACCAACAAAAACAAAAACACCCAAGTGAAAAGCAAGGGTGGAAAAGAAAAGAAAAGAAAAACGCTAAAGTAACAAACTTCTGCCTTTCCTAATACTCTAGAAAGTCCCCGGCAATGGCGCAAAAAACTTGACTCGCTACGACACAACACCTAACAATGGCCAAGTGTAACCAATGGAAGGGACTGCAGTATAGTGGCTCAAGTGATAAATATCAAATCCACGGGTCTCTAGAGTTACTATTACTCAGCTTCAGTTTATTATTTAGCAAACCAGATTAAGATGAAAGAACTAAAACTACTCTAGCAAACTACAGTTAAAGTTAATCTAATTGCAGGTTGGGAACTCACTTAGGTATGATTCCCCCTAGCCACTAGCCAGACTAACGATTGCTGATTTCGAACTTGTTTCACTTTCATTCACAATGTGGAGAATCCTTGACTAGACCTTGAGTCTCGACTAAAGGAACAAGGCCCTCTTGAGTCAATTGCCTAGAGGGACGTATCCTCTCTAGAACAACTGATCAAGGCGTTCTGAACTAGACTCCCTCTATCGAAATAGGTTCTCAATCGATATAAAGCAGTGAATCAACCCTCGACTAAAGCAATCGATCCACTACTATCAATCTATGGTGCTCTATTGACCTAATCAGATATTCATTCTCATAGGATCAAAGCAGAATCAATAATCTCGACTAAAGCAGAATTGAATCATGAAAACATGCATAGATTGAATATGAACTCAAGATAATCAAGTCAGAGTACTCATACAATCATCCAATCAAACAAACATAGCTAGGGTTCCTCAAAACCTAAGTGAAGGGAAGTTACTCCATAGAGAAGAGAGAGACTGCAGTAAGAATCTTCAGATGATCAGTCTTCAAGGCCGGGCTTGTTCCTCGAGCTTCCAAGGCAAAGAAATCCTCCAATTCCACTCCAAGAATGCCCTCAAATCTCCCTCTCTCTCTTTGGTTCGTCCCTAGGGTGTTTGGGATCCAAAACCCAGCTCTCCCCTTTCCTTTTGGCTGAAAATCTGCTTAAAAGGGCATCAGTGGCCAAAGCACGGTCGAGGGCACGGCCGTGTAATGCCTCAGCCCGCCCGTGCTTTGGCTAGTGTTAATTACACTAGGAGAAACACGACCGTGCTTTGGTGAAGCACGCCC